CACGTTCTTCGATCTATATTACAAATATTTAAGAATTATTAATATTATTATACAACAGATTTTTTTAATGAAACTAACTACAAAGTGAAGCATGCAGTAACTCAGTAACTAATTTATTATTGTTTTTATAATATAATATAATAACATTTACACGATAACAATAACAACGCTACCTTAAATACGAAATTTTGTGCTAAACTCCTATTATTTAGCTGCATGAAAAAAAGGTTTTGATATTTTTTGATTTTATTTTGTTGATTATTGTAAGGATTGTTAAGTGACGACAGGTATACTAATGTGATTTATAATGTGTATAAGTTGCGTATTAAAATGACTTTTGTAGCTGTTCAAATATTAATTTAAAAAAAGAAAAAAATAAAGTGGAAGTGGAAGAACTATAAATAACAATAAAATTTTAAGCATATCTTTGCAATTTTTTTTTAAAGTATTAAAATCCATATGTGAAAAGCAATAGTGTACGTGTAGTAAAATAAGCGTGTATAAACTTGTATAAAGAAATAATTTATAACATTGAAATTTAATATTTTTGTATCATTTTAATTAAACTTAGTCAATAAACTATTGACTATAGTTTTATTTATTAAAATTAGTTATATTTTAAAAATTACCTTTTCCAGGGTACGTTCATAAGTACGAACACTTTCAATCAGTGAAATAGCATAAGGATAGATTTGGTTTGCCTGATGAGCTTTGTTCACAATAGTAAGTGGTACTCTATTAAGCGAAAAATATATACATATGTATAAATTAATTATTAAAAAAAAATTACTTACCTAAAGCCTAAATTTTTAATATTCCGCACTTCTTTCGATAAAGTAATGATTTCTGGAAGAAAATTCACTCGTAATCTAAGTACATTAGCTCGTACGGTACGCGATCGAACTGAGTCGATAGTAAATATACGCCCAGTACTACCGAAATTACGCTCTTGTACTTTACGTGCCCAATCCTGAAAAACTTCAGAAATTGAAAGTTTATTGCGAAAACTATCACCGTCGGCTTTTAATTTCTGTCCTTCAATGTGTGTTTCCCAACCTCTGCCTAAAACATCTTCAACACGTTTTAAGTACATAGTCAATTGATTATCTATTTGTCGTGCCCATATTATAGAACCAGCGACTGGAGGTAAGTCTCTAACCGACGATAAACGACAACTTTTACTTTGTGGATATTGAACCTTAAAATAAAAATAAATTAGTTGTGATATTTTTAAAATTATTGTAAAATATGTATTACTTTAAATTTTTCATGCAAAGCTTCGATATCATCCTTGACACGCTGTATAAGCTGTGTTTGATATTCACGTATAGCACCGCGAATATGTGGACGCACAAAAAGTGCATTGAAACGCGAGAAAATTCGAAACATTTCATTAGCATTTTTTGCTGTGCCAAGTTGATCACGTAAATGTGCTGTTATACGAGTTTCCACGCGATCTTAAATAAAAAAAACAACAATCGTTAAAAAATTAAACCATCTTATGAGAATAGCAAGCTTACCAATTCTTTCTTCATAACGTTTTACTGCTGCTTCCCATGCTTCTGATCCTTCCTTGGTTATATCCAAGCAGTCAACTTCTTTAACATTTTCGTAAGCTAAGTTAACTTCTTCAATTGCATTAGCATCTGCAGCTTCTAAACTGTAAGGTTGCTTTGTTTCAGTAACATTTGAATCATTTTGTGATTGTTTATTGGGACGTAAAACACGTAATATGACAGTACGTAATTGCTCATGCTGTCTGCGGAATTTACGCATATGTTCCATGCGTGTCTGAAGTTTCTTATGAGCAGGTGAAACACGCCACACCATTTTTAAATGTTCATCACGCTTCTTTTTGACAATATCACGCAAAAGTCCTTGCAGTTTATCATATTCATCATCCCAACAACTGAATATTTCAAAACATTGATTCATAACTCGTTCAAATTCATCGAATGGAATATGCATTAGACGACGTGTACCGAGTACTTTGAGCAATTGTTGTGAAAGATCTCGAGATATAGCTTCAATAAGTTTAAGACAACGTTGTATAGGATACTTAGTATTGCGTACTTTACGTAAATGTGAAAAAATCTGTTGTACTGCTGGTCTGATTTTTTCTAACTCTGTAGCAGAAAGTAAATCATTTATAGGAAAATCCTTCATTAAAGGATTATAATCAGCAACCGTAGCTAGAGCTTGTTTCAAACCAGTATCTGTATCAAACGAAACGGTTGCATGAAAACGTTTACCATGTTTAAGTATATCTAAAGTAAGAGCGACCTCTGGTGATTCACGTTTTTCCTGTATGCGATAAAGTGCGCGCTCTAAATTAAGCCAAAATGATACTTCCTAGAAAAAAAAAATATTTTATTTTGATTTTTGTTTTTAAAGAAACTTTTTTTTAATTACCTGTAAAGCTGTACCAGATGATGGATCTCTATCGAGCTTGGTAACTTTCTTAATTTCTTTAATCCAACGATTGACACCATTTTGTAATTGATTTAGAAAAGTAGAATCTTCAACTTTATCACCGAAGTCTCCAACTTTTGCTTTACGATTTTCATCTGAGCATTTCCTAATAACAGCATTTACAGATGGATGAGCTGTAAGTGTTATTTCTGGTATATCAATATTTTGTTGTAAATGCAATAAACCCATTTCCAACTCAGCCAATTTTTTTTCGACCGATGGAGCCATTTTATCGCCATCACGATCAGCACGCCCCGATTCCTTGACATATGATTTGAAGTAGGGTGCCAAGGATTTACTGATAAAAGCGTGCAGTGTTTCGTATGGTGAACCATCCGAAAAATTAATTAAACGCAATTGTGAGTGTATTGACTTGTCGGCTTCAATTACAGCACCACGTTTAATACATGCTAATGAGGCCATGCGACTGTTTGTAAAGTGCACATCGTTACTGATTTGGTAAGTAACGAGTTCTTTCTCCTCTTCACCTTCAGCCGGTTGCTCATTTTCATCCTCTGAAATAAAAAAGAAATTATTAATAATTGATTTAATTAGAACTGTTATATTAACAGCATAACAAAATATTCCACTTCAGTTTTAATATTCAAATTATTATTTATATGCATTATTAAATGATTGAATATTTCATACAATATTCGCCTCTAATTCCAAGTTCAAATTCGCACACAAGGGCAAACCTTGAACGTCTCCTTGAATAAAAATTCAGTACATCGCACTACCAAATGAATGGCATTGAGAAACCTTGATATCAATGTCATGTTCAGTGCCATTTTGAATGATATAGCACAAGGTCATACGTTCCCATGTGCTCATTGCGCATTTGAGTACTATTGAACCGGGAAATACAGTTTGTTTTGCGTTTCAATATAAACATAAACATCAATCAGCTGATTTTTGCTTACATTATACTAACAGCTGTGTGTATTTATGCCGGCAAAAAAATAAACAAAATTAAGCCGGTATAAACAAAACTCGGCTAACATATTGTAGTAGACTTTAACGAATTTTTGTAATAGATTAATGAAAATGAAAATAAAACCACGACAAGCAAAACAAGTATGCAAGATGACGTCAGGCAGTTGTCAAATTTGCAAGTGTATTGATTTTCCTATAAGAAAATCATTAAATGCATTCTTATAAGAAAAATTTAACTGATGATATTAGTAACTGAATTTAATTTTTCTTACACATAATTAAATTGGCATAATATATAAACACTGTTTGTTATCTTTTAAGTATAAAGATAAAGCATGTGCAATCGCCATTTTGTGTTGGGCGGTGGCCATACTTTGTGCAAATTCAGTCATAAGAAAAACTTATATATAAACTTTACCTTTAAGACAATTGCGTTGTATATATAATGCTTGCACTTGTGGGTCTGATAAGAATTTTTTCACGCGATCCTGGTTATCGGGATCCTCTAATGCTGTATTTAAAGCTGGTGGTACAACATCTTCTTCGGGTAAAAGTATGGTAACAGCCTTGCGAATATAATTGGCAAATGCACCATAATCCACAATTGTTACATTCGCTGTTACTTCTACCGAAGTATCAGCGTTCTCCAAAGAATCTCCCATACGAATATTCTAATTTTATTATAAATATATATGTTTAATAATAATTTGAAACGAACGGTGTGATTACACGTCTCAGTAAACCGAAAACGAAATCACTAATGCAAATTTGGATTGTGATGAGTCACCAATGTGAAAAAAACTAGTGTTGCCGTGATGCAAAAATATATTTTCTGAAATAAAATATTTGTTTGAATTATAATTGTTGAAGCAGATTTAAGATATTAGTTCATTACGTGATAAAATTAATGAGGTTGCAATCATATTATTAACGAATTTTGTCTTGTTTTGTCGTCGAAAGTTGCGGTTATAGTATGAGCTGATTTATTGATAATAAGCTCATTTATATGAAAGTTCGTTGTATAGTAAATTATCCTCATCAGTAGCTATAATTAGTAAAACTGTCTTAATAAGACAGTGTGAATGTGCTATTACATTGCTAACAAATTTTTAATTCTGGTTTATTTGCTTTGAAAACAGAATGGAAAATCTGTCATTAATGTATTTATTAATTTCAAATAACAAATGATGAACTTAAGTATAAAAATCATCAAGGAATTAAAATAAAGATTTTTCTTTATCCTCAACTAAAAAAACTAGCAAATCGTGATTTTATTCCTAAAAATAACATGTCTTATTAAATATATTTCGATTTATAACATTAAAACCATTTAAAAATAACACACACCTCTCCACTTAATTATTTCCAACATCGATTTTGTACGAAAGAATGAATATTTTGTAAAAAATATTTTCTTGAATCTAAAGTTTGCACAAGACAGACAACACGTCATGCGAATAGTTCTTAGCAACTGTAACCATTCACATATGATTACAAACATTTGCTTTGCTCGTACGACCAGGTAAGATAAAATTCAAATGCAATGTAATCGCAGCTTAACTTATATTTATAAACCTTTACTTATCATAAAAAGATTACGTATAATAAATAATATATTTAATAAAAACTCCCGAATTATAGCAATAAATATAAGAATTGGTTTCGGTGCAGTTGTTTACAAACGATTATTCCATTTAATGAATAAAAGGTAACAAATTCATCTCATGGAAACAAAAACGTAAAACAAAATTTATAATAGCATTTAATAAGTTTATTTACAAAAAAGTTTTCCTATATGCACGAAACAGTTTTTAACAAAATCGTTTTTATTTAAACCAATAACAAAAGTGGAATAAAGTGATATAAAACGGGTTTACTACATAAACAAGTTAAAAAAGTTTGAGTACTTAATAAACCTCATTAAAATGGTTTTACAAAGGAAAATTTGCATATAAAAACAATTTATTAATTTATTACAAAACTTTGATAGAATCTTTTGCTGTACTAATTTATTTTAAGGAAATAGGAGAATATAAGAAAAACATTAAATCAGTATAAATATTAAAGTTTTTATGAAAAATGTTGAAGAGAATTAGAAGAGTGTTTTTAATGTACTTCTTAAAATATTTTCATAAAAATGGAATTATTTTTATTTAAGTATTTAACTGCAAATATTTGGAGTTTTAGTTACACAAAGTATTATTTGTGAAATTAATGTTAATATATATATAACCAGTTTTATCAGAATTCGTTATCAAATCGGTCGCAGTAGAAATCGTAATCGTGACGAAAAACCCACTACTTTCTGATTTTCAGTACGAAAATATACAACCCTGTTGTTCGTGAGCGTCAATCTATTACCTATTTGAGCATCTGTTTGATTTGATTTAAATCAGCTGCTATTTACTTATGTACCAGCTGGATTATTGTGCTGTGCTTAGGTTATTTTTGTGTTAGATTAATAGAAATTCTTCAATAAGAAGTTTGATAATGTTACGCCATTTGTATATTAAAAGTTTAAGGCAAGTGAGGCATAATTGGAATATACGTTTCTTAACGAAAAGCTGCACTACCGCTGATGTAAGTTGCTTTCATTCTCAGCTGTCACTGTTTTTAATGAACTTAGTTTTTAATTTCAGACTACAGAGTTGAATAATGATATAAAACACACTATAGAAAACCATTGGCATAACAGAATAAATGATTTAAAATTTGACCCAACATGTGTGGATAAAAAATTTTATGTACTCTCTATGTTTCCGTACCCATCAGGAAATTTACATATGGGACATGTGCGTGTATATGCTATCAGTGATGCAATAGCACGTTTTTACCGTATGTGTGGTAAAAATGTTTTTCAACCCATTGGATGGGATGCATTTGGTTTACCGGCGGAAAATGCGGCAATACAAAGAGGCGTGGAGCCATCAGAGTGGACAAAGCAAAATATTGAACAAATGAAACAACAATTAAAAGTGTTAGGTTGCTCTTTTGATTGGAAACATGAAATGTCAACATGTGATCCAACGTATTATAAATGGACACAAAAATTATTTTTAATGTTGCATAAAAAAGGTCTTGCTTACCAAAATGAGGTGAGTAATTAGTTAATATCTTTCATACACGTTTAAAAAAAATTATTTCAGGCTTTAGTTAATTGGGATCCAGTCGATAAAACTGTATTGGCTGATGAACAAGTAGATTCAAATGGTTGTTCCTGGCGTTCTGGTGCTAAGGTTGAAAAAAAGTTATTAAAACAATGGTTTATACGTACAACGGCTTATGCAAAGGATTTGCTGGATGGTTTAGATGATCCCACATTACAAGACTGGCGTGATATAATTAATTTACAGCGCCACTGGATTGGCGAATGTAATGGATATGCTTTTCAATTGTTAACCTCAGCTGGAAATCTGTTACGGGTGTGGACCACAAATCCTGAATACTTAAAAGATCCAAATGCATTTATTGTGCTTAAAAGTAAACATTACTTATCAAAAATAAAAAATGCAGAACAACTAACACTTGAAAATCCTTTCACGGGCATAACAATTCCAATATTTTTCAGTGATATACCAAATTATGCCGATAATTGCGATGTTTACTTGGCATCCCCTGGATTTTCATTAGATGATAAGTTGCTACAAGAAAATATGAATTTAGCATTATTGGTACAAAATATTAATAACAATTTAGATGTTAATACAGCTAAAACAGAAGTTTTGGAGCAAGCAAAACGTTTAAATATCGGCGGACAAAGAGTTTCGGCTAAATTGCAAGATTGGCTAATATCCCGGCAACGCTATTGGGGTACACCAATTCCAATTGTACACTGCGATCAATGCGGCGCTGTGCCTGTGCCAGAGGAGAAGCTACCTGTGTTATTACCACATAAGTCTAATTTAGTTGGGAATAGCAAGGAAGAAAATCAATGCGTATGCCCAAAATGTGGTAATTCAAATGCACAACGTGAAACAGATACAATGGACACATTTGTTGATAGTTCTTGGTATTATTTAAGATACTTGGACTCGACCAACTCTCAAAAAATATTTGATGAGAAATTAATAAAAACCTGCATGCCTGTGGACTTGTATATAGGCGGAAAGGAACATGCCGTTCTACACTTATATTATGCGCGATTTATGAATCATTTCTTACATAGTGTAGGAATGGTACCAACATCCGAACCATTTAAACGACTTTTAGTGCAGGGCATGGTAATGGGTCGATCATATAGAATAAAAGGCACTGGACGTTATGTCACGGAAAATGAAGTAAATTAGTATTTTTGTTTTAATTTATATTATAATAATAGTAAAATTGTATTTTTCTAGGTAGAAGTTGTAAATGCAAAGAAAAACCAGGCACTTCTCAAAGAAACAAAAGAGCCAGTTGTTATGAGTTGGGAAAAAATGTCAAAGTCAAAACTAAATGGCGTTGATCCTACAGATATGTTTCGGGAATACGGAACGGATACTACAAGACTGATAATTTTAGCTGATGTCGCACCTACATCACATAGAAACTGGTCAAATGCTAGTGAGTTTCGTTATTTAAAGTATTGTATCTCTTTAAAGCACGCATATTTATATCTACTATAGCTTTTCCTGGTATTTTAAATTGGCAAAAGCGTTTATGGTTAACAGTGAATGAGTTTTACGCAGAACGTACCGCTCCAGATAATCAAACAATAGATATAAATGATAAAAAATTTTTGGAGGAGGATGATAAAATGTTCGATTCCAGAAATTTTTATATTAAGGGTGCAACATTCAATTATCGATACGCTCATCAGTTAAGTGTGGCAATATCTAAAATGCAAGGTCTAACAAATTCCTTAAGGGTAATTTCAAATTATTTGTAATCAGCTAAGTTTTTGAAAAGTTATTTAAATTTTTAGCGTGCTCCTAAAGAAATTGTACGTTATGGTAAACAATTTGAAAGAGCATTAGCTAGCCAAATTATAATGCTCGCTCCAATGGCTCCACATTTTGCTTCTGAATTGTGGTCTAAATTTGCTTCAACGCCAAATCGTTTAAATGCAACCACAGATGAATTACAGTGGGATAATGATGTCCTTTCACAACGTTGGCCAGAAATCGACATGGATTATAAACTGGATTTAACAATAAAGGTACAATTTTTGTGTATTTAAATTGTTAATAAAAGTAATGCGATTTTATTTTTAGGTGAATGGTTTTGAAAACTGCGTTATGAAAATACCGCGTTGTCATTTAGACAAACTGACTTCTAATGACGCTATGGATATTGCTTTTAATACAGATTCTGTAACTTCATATCTTATAGATAAAAAAATACGAAATACAAATTACGTGTTCTATCCTGGCATTGATGCCACATTAAATATATACGTTGAAAAAGTTAAACAAACTAAACAGAAATCTATAAATCCTACGAAAGAATTTGTATCATAAGTACAAAGTTCATAAAACGTTCGTTTAAAATAATTTTTAAGATAGTATTGCTATAGGTTGTTTTGATTTTCGTTAGCTATTAAATTAAGTTTTATTAATTGTATATTGTGTTGTTGTATTAGGTAAAAAACCTATGTTATTTTAGAAAAATCAGAATATTAGTAGTTAAGTTTTGTATATTATATATGTATGAAAACACTTAAATATATATAAAATATATTCATTATTAATAATATAAACATTAAGAGCTATTACATATAAATTTTAAATAAAGAGAAGATTAAGAGATGGCATTTTTTAAGTTGAATATATGCTACTAATTTAATGAAAATTAGAGTAATGGTAAAAAATGATTAGTTAATATAAATATATGTTAATATTGATTTTTATAAAAATAAATTTGATTCTAACGTATGTAGATCCTAGAAGTACCTAACATAACAAAAAACTAACTTAAAACAATTAAGTACTTAACTTCACTTCTAGCTAGTTGATTATATTCCGTTAAAAAATATTATAATAGTATTTCAAAATTTAGTTCACAGGATAGGTAAATTTTGATAAGCTCATATTATATAAATGGTTTCTCAGTCTAGAGCATTGTAGACTGGAAAAGTTTTGTGGTTGTTATAGCTTACTTCTAGTATTTACTATTATAAGTCCTGATCTTATTATCTTATGTTATTATTACCAAGTTTTCTTTTTTGTTTGGAGCTAACAGCATTTCTATTGGTATACTTGTCCTATTAAATTGAATTCATGTGTGCAGTTATCAATAGAATTTCTTGGAAGAAATTGGAAAAAATGTGTATAAGATATTGTTAGTACTTGTGAAGCAATCGCATTTCAATGATATTTGTGATGTTATATAAGTAATATGTATAGATTGTATTTTTAATATAAATTAAAAATTAATTTATTGAAGCAATATACTACTTTTTATTTCTAATGCTTTAGGTTAGGGATAAAGAAATCTTATGATTAATTATGATTGATTAGTGTTCTTAGTATTTCATTTAAAAAGCATTTTTTGCTTTCTTACGTCGATGATAATTATACTCTTACCTATCTCACAAAAGCTTTTTGATCCAAATCTGGTTAGCAGTTTTTTTTTACTAATTATATCGATGATAATTATACTCTTACCTATCTCACAAAAGCTTTTTGATCCGAATCTGGTTAGCAGTTTTTTTTACTAATTATATATGTTTTATATTTTGTTTTTATGTAAATTGCATACACGTCTGTCTGAAAGGTAGTTCATTATTTAACTGGAGTCACAGAATGAAAAATACTTGGTACATATATTTCAAGCCTAGTACCTGTTACAGGGTTGTCTGTATGCTTGACTAATGGTGTTATATTTTGGGTTATAGGCATTAACTTTAGAAGTCTTCTCTTATAAGCGCTCCACTTACAATATTTTAAAGTAATTTAAAAATATGATTTAATTCAGATAACGATTTTCTTAAAAAACGGAATACATTAGTAACACGTATTGGGAGGAATAAAGTAAATATTTTAAAATAAATTGGTTCCGTTGTAGTGGGTCATTTAAAAAGTGGGCTTACTTCTCTGAGTCTGAGGCTCTTCTGAGACTATTTTGAATGTATAGTCTAAACACTTTTTAGGTAATAGATACAAATAGCATTAATGAGAGTATCCTATACTGTAATATTTGACGTTTAAATAATTTAATTAAAGTTGTTACATTTTATTGTAAAAACCATAAAGAATTGATTGGATTTTAACTAAACTTTCTGATTAGACAATAGATCGTAGTAGTTTATTGTCCGTTAGGTTAAATGTTTCTAAAAAAATGGCGAAAAGTAATCCAGACTGCACTCATAAAGATTAAGGACGTGTGCGAGTTAGGCTAAGTTGCGTTCTATATGAGGGAAATTCTAACTTGTGCCTATAATGTAGTGTTGTGTTGATACGTGTTGATAAATGGCTAAATGTGTGCAGCGCAAAAAATCCCAATCTCCCATTTGGTTTAGCATCAACTTAGCCTAAATTGCACACGTCCTTAATATGATCGAAATTTAAACTTTGTGTTTGATTTTTTTGATTGTCTTACTGTTTGAACACTGCAAAATTATTGATATAAAAGAACATCCGTAGAATATATTCCTAACCTTTTAATCGTAGTACCAAAGTGAAGAAACTACCGGGTGTCTTGACGATTTTAAACAGTAAAGTATAAAAAAAGTCTTTCCTATTTAAATCCAAAAATTTTTGCGAGAATAATCTACAGTTACACAGGTGATTCCTCATCTCGTTGTTAGAGTATACATCCTGTAAGGTAGTCTACTATCGCACAGATAAAAGAAATTGAAGAAGAAAATTGTTTAGTGTACTCGTTACACTGAGTTTATATTAACATTACATGCCTCCATATTGAGAATAATGTGCTTGATTTACAGCGTCGGTATGAATAGAAAATTGAAGACCACGCCCAAACCAGGGTGTAAATTACTCTGAACTACGAGTGATGCACATCATTTTGGATTTAATAAATAGATCATAGATCATGAAGAAAATAAAGGCAAAAGTGTTTCAAATACCGAAATGGTGGGACTTTAAATGTTTATATTATATTCAATTTTGTAGTCTACTGTCATCAACTGGACAAATTAATCATTTAAAAAAAAAAAATGAAAAAGGACAAAATTGATAGAGAGAAAATCTCATCAAAATAATACGAGATCTCATAAAAGTTTAAAAATTCGCAAAAAGCTTATATTGTTTTAATTAAATGTTATCATACCCATTGGAAAATTACAACATGGAGAAGGTCAACGTTAAATGAAATACATATCTGGGCCCCTGGGAAGAAGAATAAGCAACATTACTGTTATAAAGGAAGTAGCGTTGCGGCGGGAAAGGTGGAAGCGACTTATAGACAGCCTGTGCCTAGTATAAGAGGCTGCCCGAAATCATTGATTTCGAGCAAGGCTTATCATTATTATTATTATCATACCCACTATATTCTGTAGATGGGGTAGTTTCAGATTATTGCTTCTTTGTGTCTCTACAAAGATTTTGAATGCTAATGAAGATGTGTGTTAAAAATATTATGACTCAGTTTTTTGTCAGGAAAGATTTGAAATTTTAAGGAATTTTATGCTACGAATTAAGAATATATAATATTTATACTCTATTTGAAAAACTTCTTTTATTATTTATCTAAATTGGATTCTGAGCAAAAGATAAATTTAAATACAATTAAAAAGTAAATACTGTAAATAAAGTAAAATAGTTGTAAATAGAGTAAATATCTTGATTTAGTAGATATTGTAAGTACTCAATACTTAATTTTTTAACATTAAAAATGTTTGAATGAAGCTGGCAATGGCATTATTTTCTTTTTAATATCTTTAGTGCTTTAAACTAGCAGTTTTATTCCCTTATGTTCTTTTGAATGCTCTTTTCAATGTTATTAGTGCTGTTAGGTAATTATTTCTGGTTTTTAATGCGGTATTTGTGAAGTTGTTATTGTATTTAGCTTTAATAATCGCTTTAGGTACTGATAGCTATAATTTTTTCTAATTTTATGATATGTAAATGAGTAAATTTGAGTATTGAATGTTTGCTTGGGTGAATGGTGAGAATTTTGTAGCGTAATTTTTATGTAGTATGCCAACAAGGCACCAGGCAGTCACAACGTCAATCCCGAACTATTAAAGTGCGATCCAGAATTATCAGCATCTATTTGGCCCCTATTCTGTAGAAAATCTGGGAAAACGAAGCGGTACCACTTTCTTGGAATGAAGGTGTGCTCGTTAAGATTCCGAAAAAGGGCGATGGATCCGATTGTAACAACTGCCGAGGTATCACACTACTACCCGTGCCTAGCAAAATACACACTTCGATTTTACTATCACGAATCTCGACGGTAATAGAAGAACTCCTCCGTGAGAATCAATACGAAATCGATTTTGTGCCGATCTGATCAATAGTGTCCTCATTGTGTTTGAAGAATGCAATGAATTTAGGTCTTCTGTTTATGCAGCATCTATAGACTTCAAAAAAACCTTTGATTGTCTGAACAGACGTTTCATATGGGTTGCTTTACGTCAAAATGGCATGCCACCAAAAATAATTAACATCATCAAGTCCATGTACATTAAATATAAATGCAGAGTTTTGTACGAAGGAGTGTTGTCTGACGCGTTTGACGTGAGTACAGGAGTTCGTCAAGGCTGCTTCCTTTACCGGTGCTTTTAATTCTAGCTCTGGACGAAAAATTAAGAAATTTGCTTGATGGACGCCATGGTATACAGTAGACACCTTTTCTCTATCTAGAAGATCTTGAATATTCGGACAATGTGTGTCTGCTGAATCACAGAAGCAGAGATCTTCAACATAACGTAGACAGCCTAAATCGAAAAGACCGGGCTTGGTAGTAGGCTTGGAAATAAACATGTCTAAAACGATTGTCATGTCCAGTGGATACTGCGCTGTAACAGATCCTTTGATAGCTGTTGAGAACATAAATATAAATGTTGTACAATCCTGCACATATTTGGGCAGCGTAGTTTCTAACGTAAGCTGAGCAGAAGAAGATGTAGCGGCTCGTAGAAATCGGGCGAAGTCTGCATTTGGCTAACTACAAAATATTTGGAGGTCAAATCAACTAAGCGTCAGAACAAAACTTCGTATATTTAAATCAAATTTCGTATCCGTACTTCTGTATGGGTGCGAAACATGGAAGTTTACTAAATCTATCAATTCATGAATCCAAGTCTTCATATACAAATGTCTAAGACGGATCTTCAAAATATGGTGGCCAAAATGTATCTCTAATGCAGAATTGTAGAAAAGAGCGAATTTACAAAGCGTCGAGAGCAAAATCAAAAAACGAAAATGGCAATGGATCGGACATACGCTACGCAAATCGAAATCCTATATCGCTAAGCAAGTCCGCAAGGGCGCAAGGCAGTCGCCGGCCTGAAGCTCCTTCAAGAACATGGCGAAGGACAATTGATGACAAATTAACATCAGCGCGCTACTCATGGAATGACATCTGCACGGCAGCTTCAAAAAAAATACGCTTCAGAGGCAAAAAGAATTGTTAAGGCCCTATGCTTCACTGGAAGTTAACGGAACAAAGAAGAAGAAGATGTCATTTTTAATGTATAACTTCATAAGCTTGTTAAAAATTTTAAGGATTTGAAGCAAAACATAAACATCAATCAGAACGTATGTTTTATCTTCATACAATACTTCTAAATGATGTACGAGTATATATGGTAGACATTAATAAAGTTTATTTTCTTGAAATGAAAAAGTTGTCACAATTTGTAAACCTCAATGATTCCTAATCAAGAACAAATTAATTTTCATTTTTGTGACCAACAGGTTCCAAAGACAATTATGTTCATTGGGTGTACGTAAAGTCAGGAACCACAACCTTACATCTATTAAAAGTTTAATTATAGATCAGCAAATGAATAATTATTCAGATGTGAATATTTGTGCAACAGGCTTGACATTTATTGCAAAAATCTCTTCTAGTTAGTTATGTCTATTCATCAACCCAAAATTGAATATTGATTTGATGGCTCAAGCGTAGCATATTGTAGGTAAGTGCGAGTAGTAGAGTCCTTCATTTCGTTACTGCAGTTTCCGAGTAAAATAACAGTCACTGCTTTGCCATATGAAGCAACATCCTTTCAAGTAAGCAACGAAGGCACCGTACACTGCCTAACAGGTATCCTGATATGGTCGTAAATTGAACATAATCCTCAAATGTAAAATGTCTGGTAAAAAGCTCTATATTGTGTAAACAAATTGTTCTTTCTATTTCTTTTTTCCTGGTTTAGTATACGATGAACTTGGTTTGCTACTACATTTCCTTTTTTTGTTGTATTTCTATTCAGGTTATTTCGTTTTTACGTGTGATTTTTTCGTTTCGTCTACCGCTCTAAACTCCATGTGCTTAAAGTGCTGTAAAAAAAAGAATATGGAAGGCACTTTATAGTTGCAGTTAGTGAAGGTGTTGTGGCAAAATGGATATACTCGTTGCACAGTATCGTGGCATGCCATATGAATATTCCCTCGGTTGCTATCATAGTCGTCTTAGTTACTACAATATAACGATTGCTATTTTACACAAACTTTATGGAGGTTGCAATATGCTTTCTTAAGCACGGGGATTACCTACTAAGGATGCTTGTTGCTGATGTTGATGTTCGATGGTTTTAAAGGCTGTTCGAGTGCTCTTGTGTTTTCCGGTTCAAGTTAATTTGGTAGAAGGATGGATGAATTCGAAAAAGTGTTCAAATTTTCTGCTGCAGTATCTGTGCAAAATCAACGTTTACTCCAACCAAAAGAGGCGCACGAAATGCATTGCATTAACATAAAGAATAATGCGGATTGCATCGCATTGTTTACAGTTTTGAATATTCCTAAGAGTATCATAAATGCATATTTAATATACGGATTTTACCTTTTCAATAAAAATCTTGTACTCAAATAAGTTTAATCAGTAGCTTCAAGACCATGGGAAATATATGAAATTGAAGTGCTTTGTGGATATGAATACAAGAGCATAAATGCTGTTTTTAGATTAGAAATATTTAAGTGAGGCATTAAGGAAAAGGTTTATGTTTGAAAATGAAAATGTTTTGCTATTTAAAATGTTCATTTCTTATAAGAATTATGTAAATGTTAAATTATTTTTAATAATTCTCAATAACAATAATTTAAATAAAAGGAGTTAAAATAAAGCTTTGTCATTTAAGCATTGTATTTTAAAACATCTTTAAAATATCTTAATAACTTTTTGTTGCTACTTTTTCCACATAACCTCCAACTAACATCCTTACATTTTTCCAAACAAAGATTTAACTTCAACCCGTCTAATTCGTATGTTGAACCCCTTAAAAATATTCAATTTCGGCGAAAACAAAAAGTAATGATTGAAGACCCGCTGTTTTAAAGAAGGTTTATGATCAATCAAATCGTATTCAATCGTTTATGGGTTCGACTTGCGACTGACGAAATGGGTGTTTGTGCAGTGTTTTAATAAAATTAAACGTTTTTCCGATTCGAATAGCAAAGAAAGGCAAAGACAAAAATTTTTTATTTAATTTATTGAAATTTGGCTGACCATACAACGCTGTTTCGAGTATTGCCAAGTACTCTTCATCAGTGGTCTTTGGAAATAATCGAATTTTTATTTAATTAGTTTATAGTCCGTATATAATTTGTTTGGACTGTAAGTGCCAGGCTTAGAACTCGTGCCTGCCAAATTATTGAATATTTCGTCATAAAAAGTCACGCCATTATCGGCAAGAAAAAATTTACCTTAAACGTTTTTCTTTGCGAAAGATGTTCTTTTTTGATTGTACAATAAGGATCTTAAACTAATTCTTTTATAAAAACGTTTTTTCGAACATTAGTGAACTACAACAACAAAAATTCACTTTTATATTATTTTAATTACTTGAATTTTCGGCTGACCATACATTTGTTTCGTGTATTGCCAAATATCCATTATCAGTTGTCTTGGTAATAATTCTTCTATTTAATTATTCGTAAATAATTATTTGAGACTGCAAGTACCAGGAATCGAACTCGTGCCCTACCCAATTTGAAGCTCAGAGTCAGCGCACTTTAATAAACTGACCCAAAGCCGTACTTGACTTTTATGTTCGCACATTTTTGTGGAGTTTTGTTACTTTGCTGTAAAAGTTTTATTAACAAATTCACTTACTGTGTTTATATTTGAACGAAATCGTAAACCAGTTGTAGAAGAATTAAATGAATTAATTATATTTTTATTTTTTTTTTAATTGTTAAATTTCTAATTCTAATATTCTAATTCTTTTATGTTGTATTGTATGATTCAGTTACTATAAATTCCTTTTTGAAGTATCCAATCTGTAATATGTCTTTGTTATCCAGAACAATTACCAGTGGACAACATATGTTAGTTTTGACATTGTATGTAGCAGTTTCAATATAGTCTGGAATAATATTAAGTATTGTGGTACATGGCATAATTGTTGATATGGTAAGTCCATGTCAGAAATTATATATTGGCACAAGTGTTTACTGATTACTGAAAGTTTACACCGTTTTTACAAAATGTTAGATTTATTTAAACGATTTTATTCCAAATACAATACCCATTGATTCAAGAATTTTCTTGTATTACAATTTTCATTCAATATTTAAATAATGTAATTAAATAAAGCACGCTGATTATCTCTAAGCTTTCTGACTTTTATACACCTAATACATATACGTTAGCATAGAGTTTCAACGAAGCATCAGTCTTAACAATAGATGTTATTTTGAGCTGAGTTGAAAATTGATATATGTAATCCTGTTTCGACAAATGAAATCCTGTTACGACAAATGAAAATCATGCATCACAACTGCTACTGATGAGAAGGCATTGTGAATATTTCATAGAAAACTTCTATGGAAGATCTATGATATCGTAAGTGTGATGAGTATTGAATTAGATGGTGTAATGAGCTGTATAAACTATTCGCGATATTGACATAGTTAAACGTTTTCTATACTGCTGATTTACTGACTTTGTAAACGAGTTCTATTCGGTTCCACTGTTGGAAAATATGGTAATGTACATATTTTCTGTGGAACGATCAGGTGACAATTGATTTGATGGTACTCGATACTATCAATAAGTTACAACACGTTGATAATAGAATTGGTTGGCCGGATACGGTCAAATACGACACGCATCTGTAAAGCTCAACTTACATTAACAATAAGCTGTAATGCTTATTACAACTTATTCGATATATAGGACAATCGAAAACAACATTAGTGCTTGTCTGTCCAGATCGGTTTGCGTCAATTAAGTTAGCATGATTAAGTTTAAAGTCAGCTCTTTTATTGTACCATGTATTAACACAAGTTAATTTAGATCAAATTTGCAAAGACTTATTATTTTTTTACTATTCAAAATCTATATTTTTAGGTTAACTTATTTAAATATATTGTAATCATGTGTTCTTGAAGGGATTCATTTAAACTGTCAGATATACCAACCTTTATTAAGTTGAGCGAATTTTTGATTTTTTCGTGTCATTGTAATTTAGTGCTGTTAATATTCAATATTTTATAAGGGAATGTTAAAATATGTCGACACGTCTCTAATTGATAAGCCTGAGTAGCAAATTCGCATTTAATGGTATTTCATAAAGCAGCTCTACAACTATAAACTATCAAACCATAACTTTACAGCAGGATATGGCCCATAAATATGAGTAAATTGGATGAGTGTGTGTTCACGAAATATAACTAATAACGCATAAGTAATAAGCAAAAAGTTACCAAACATTAGCAGTAGTGGGTGTTGGGTGGTGCCGACTATAGCAACCGAATATAACCCCAATAAACAAACTAATAAAACAAACAAAGACTAATGCCTGAGTAAGAATGATTGAAGAAGCGTCAAGGAAACCGAGCATAGTACAGTAAAGTCTTTTCCCGTTTTAAGAACCTAAAATATTGCACTGTACAACGCAAACTAATATTGGTATAAAGTGAGACATATTTGTGTGTTAAGTATATATAAGTAAAAAATTTATATATTTAATAAATATTTTGTTTTTTTTTAAGCCTTTAAGTTATGTAACTAAAATATCGTGAAGTAGTGAAAAAGTCAAAAATATTTTAAAGAACATTTTCAACCATGAACGCAGCAGTAAATAAAACGGATTTATTATGAAACATAAAAGGACAAGCGACGGAATCACGTCGTGTTATGTCTATATCGAAGTTACGAAGCAAATCCGCCTTAGGACGACATGAAAATGGCAAGGCAACAAAAAAACCAACATTAGGAGTGGCAGTCATAACTGCAACAACAACTAATAATGCAACTCAATATGTTGGAGCTAACAAAGCTAATAGCAATTCCGGCAACGTAACACCAACATCAGCAACAAAACCCACAACAGCTATAACAACAACAACGACAGCAAAAATATCTGCTTCTTCCGTTGCACTTACAGTTGCAAATACAACTCAACAACCACAACAACAACCACAGTCACAGTTACAACCACAACAACAACAACAACAACAAAATTTACCTCAAAATTCCTTGCTGAAGATAGAACCATTTGTTCCTACTTTTAATACACGTTTACGTCGGCCTATTGGTCGCTCTTATAGTACATTAAGTTCAACATATATTAAGGCTGCAACTAATCTAAGCGGTCTACACATCGTTAAAAAAAATGAAGTTAGAAATGCAGGTTTAGTAGTGGGCGCTGCTATTGAAGTCGCACTGCCAAAAACAACACGAAACCCAGTTGGACACTTACGTAGCAGATATCATAATATTAAGACCATCACACGACAACGTTCTAAATCCACATCGTCATCGTCGGCGTCAGCATCAAATCGTTTAGCCGCTGCCAAGGGCAATAGCAACAATATTAGCCACAATAATACTAACGGCAATAATGTGTCTTACTCGAATAATGTCAATATTGTAACTGCAATCAATACCAATGGCGCAATTGTTACACCACAACCGAATGGCATTTGCCGCATAGCACGTCTACTCAAAGAACAAGAAAAATTACCGGATCGTATAAATTATGACCGTCGTGGACTTTCCGCAATTCCAATATTTGAAAATGAACCAAATCTGCGTTTGCTTTCATTGCAGCATAACTTAATCAATGTGTTCCATATACCAAAGGAAAGCCCTGCCTTTTATATACCAGAAACTGTGACTCAACCAACTAAGCTGGATGATGTAGCCTATAACTGCAATTTTGGTCAGCGTTTAAATCGGCAAATCAATGCTAATCACCAACTAAGAACACAACATGGTAGTGTCAGCCGTTTTACTTTAGCATTGACTTCACCGAAATCGAGCAAGTCAAGCAATTCATTGGCAAACAAACAGAGTCCGACACAAATAAGAGCATTTCCAATACCGCCTCCACCACCACCATCTACACCCCCACCTTTAACAACCTATACAATACAGATTGGCAACAGTAACAATGCAAGCAGCATACATACAAATCAATTACTTAAACGTAACGGCATGTTGCAGCAACTAAAAAACAATGGCACACAACTAACGCCTTCGACGTACTACCATCAGCAGCAACAGCAACAACAACAGCAACAGCAATTGCAGTACCGGTTCGCTGCGTTAAAAAAATCGAAAAGTTTCGTAACTAACTATTCCAGGCACTTGCAAAGCATCAAAAGAAATTTACAGAAATCCGGTCTGGCAAAGGTCGATGGAAATGTATTCGCCACAAATGGTGGGACACAACTCAAAAGTTTCGACTCAAACGCAAGTGGCTTAACTTCAGATTCTGCATCAGCCTCAGCCTCAGCCTCAACTTTAATCATCAGTGAAAGTGGGGATGAAGAGCAACAAAGACAGCAACTAGAAATTAAAAACAAACAGTTAACTGCATCGTATGGAGCGATTTTTCACAACCTCGTATTTTTAGATTTGTACAACAATCAAATTGAGCGAATCGGCAATTTGGATGGACTACCAACATTATCGGTGCTGCTGTTAGGGAAGAACCGCATCACGGATATTAGTGGGCTGCATTCTCTACGTCAAACGCTACGTGTACTGGATTTGCATGGCAATAAAATTATAAGCATCAGCAATAAAATCAATTGTCTACTGGAGTTGAAATCCCTTAATTTGGCCGGCAATCAGATACGCCAAATCAATCATAATGACTTCAATGGTTTGCTCAATTTGAAGGAGCTTAATCTTAAGCGCAACAAAATCCGACGCATTAATGGACTTCAAGATTTGACAGCATTGGAGCGTCTTTGGCTGTGTCACAACGAATTGCAACGTGTGGAGGATATGACGAGCATAGCAAAAGCAGCCAATTTATTAGAGGTAACCATAGAAAATAATCCTGTGTCATTAGCTGGTGATTGTGTGTCATTCTTGGTAAGTTATTTGCCACATTTGCAGTCACTCAGTCAGATGCCAATTACGGAGCAGGTGAGACAGGCAGCAATGACTTGGCGTAAAAACAAGGAAATTTCAGATGCAAACAATGCAAGCCATTCAGCAGATGGCTTTACTAACATTCGCCGAGAGGAAGTAATATCGAATGCACGTACCAATTGGGAACTGCTGAGGTCACAGCAAACAGTGCATAATGTATTGCGGAATCAACGCTGCATGAAACCGAATGAGTTGGAAAAAATAAATGAATCAAATGAGATAAACACAGGTAGCGTTGAAATGCAAGAGGTAATAAAGTTGCCACCAATACAACAAAACATATCGCAACCACAGCCGCAGGAACAACAAACAATACAAACCAATAGCACAATTGAGCAGAAGGAGAATAATGGGCGCTTATCACGTTCATCAGGTTCGAGTTTAGGTCCAAATGTAGACTCATCTTCTAGCTGCTATAGTACTGAAAACGAAGCGGAACAATCAAACAACTCTACGGAGAAATCGGGGTCCAAAAATAAAGGTAAGAAACAAAACAATACAGAAAGCTTAACCGATCAAAAGCAGCAAATTTATAAATTAAAACAGAAGAATTTAGTACTAAAAACGGATAGCGATATTTTAACTAAATCTGTTGAATTAAAGCAGCATCCCATTACTCCTACAACACCAACGAAATCCAATAAGTATACTTCTGCTAATACTTCTGAAAATTCCACAATAACTGCAACTACAACAAATGAGAAATCAAAAGCTCCACCGCAGTTAACCACGCTGAATTCCAATCAAACAACTAGCAATTTATCAGCGCGCAGCAACTCAAATATAAATCTAACAGTGCTGCCACAAACAGATATGGCAGTTGCAGCGGTAACAGCAAGCAACGTGCCACGCACAAAAACAAATACACAATCAAATAGTCAGCCTTATCCTTCAGTGCCTACTCCACCAATTACCGTCAACAGCAACATATTAAACTTAGGATTGCCAGCAACAACTACAGCAACTACTAACGTTGTAACTACTCCTGTTGCCACAACCGGCACATGCAAACGCTACATGCCAGGCAGCTTAATGAGATCGCAAACTATAGCCAGCAGTAGCAGCAACAGCAACAGCAACAGCAGCGCCAACAATGCACTACAAGCTGCCAGTAACGGGTATGGTAAACACTCCAACATTGCCAAATTGAACGCAGGATTACAAATACCAACAAAGCAAAACACTGCCAACAATTCACACACAACAAATGCAACAACAGCATCCAATGTTACAGCCACGCCCACCTACACCACTACAACTGTAACCAATAATAAAATTACGCCAGCAACAAATTCGACAACAACAGCAACTACTTTGGCGACTGCAACTGCGACCGGACCTGCTGTAGTCACAACGAGCACTAAACACGCGGATAGAGAACGCGACCGTGAACAGGGCGGCGACTATCTGATCGAGATTTGTGGTCGTTATCTGAATATTTATGGTCAGGGCGCTCTACGATTTATAGACAAGCAATGGAATTCGACAAAGGCAAGTGATGTCCATACATTAAATTTTAGTTACATTAATTTTGACAGTGTTACGACAGTGTTGCCTCGTATTAAGTTTCGTTTTCCTAATGCTGAAAACTTTGTATTCCGCGAAACGAACATCAGTTGCCTGGGTCAGTTGAACGCGTTAGGTGAGTTGCAGGGCATCACCTCGTTGTGCATTGACCCGGAAGGCAACCCAGTCACAACAAAGTATTTGTGGCGTCAGTATGCTGTGTATCGGTTGTCGCATTGGGGTCTCAAGCAATTGAACGGTGTCGAGGTAACAGAGGCGGATATCGAGAAGGCAAATATCATATACGCTGGCTTGTCGGATTTAGTGTTATGGTCGATGCCGGAAGTTATGCTCCAGCCATTGTTGGCACGTTTGCGTTTGGATGAAACGTGTACAGCAAGTAAAATGTCACCCAAAGAATGGCTGGCGAAAGAAGAAAATAAGTCGCTACGTTTGGTTGTAGGCAAGGAAGCATTGCAATGGAAAAAATCTAACAACACCAACAATATCAGCAACAATGCCAACAACAGTAGCAACAATCACAGTAATGCAAACATTATTTTTGGTCCACAGCTAAACACGTGCGATATTGTGTATCCTATGCTGTGTAGTGCTGGTAATGGTGTTGCTGGTGTCATTAATGTTGGTGGTACGTCAAATTCAACAATTACCGCACCAACAACAACTACAGGCGCAACTACAACAACTTCAGCTGCAGCTGCAGCTGCAGTTGGAGCACTTGTAACTCAAAACACTTCCGCACTTAGCACGCGTGAACGCGGTAAAATACATTTTGCGTTATTGCTGGAAAATACATGCAATGCAATTGAAAAACTTCACAAGCTGGAAACTTTATGGCCAAGTCTTCTGTTGGATATTGTGCGCAACACGTTGCTCGATTATTCGCAAATGGACGTTTATGTGTGTAATTTAATGGATGAGATTATGAAGTGAGAATGATTAGAGGCGCGACCATGTACGAATAATACATATCTATTAAGAATATTAATTCCCGGTATCATTTCGAGCCACGTTCATACAATATTCCATATACTAATCGAAATGGTGGCGTAGAGGATGCGTTCTATTACAGAAATTCATCATTGCAGTAGCAACAAATCCAATTAAAATGAATTCAACAATTTTTTAGCAAAATTTTGATATCTACTTAAATACAACTTTGTATGTACTTTTTCTTCCTGTTTTTGACTAATATGTACTTTAGATTTAAATAATTATATATAGTAGAATAAAAATGTTTAAATAACTTGAACAATTTATTTTTAAAATATATCATAGATTTTATTATTATTAAATAATAGGCTATTAATGCACCCCAACCTAAAAGTTCTATTGTGCGCCTAAGAGCACAATTAAAATAATTCCAGACTATAAATCTCGTAATTGCTGAGAGCTTAATTTTACCTATTTGATTTGGTACTAAGATTCCACTTCCAAGGTAATCAAGTCTAAGTCTTGCCACCGCTGGACAATTGCATAGAATACGTTCTGATGTTACCTTCTCCTCATTACAGAGTCGTCAATAATTACTTTCTCCCACACCTATATTCTTCATGTGATAATTGAGTCTACAGTAAAAAGTCCTGTAAAAAGTTCACTGAAGAGTTTAATATCGTTTCTGCTAAGGTTAAGGATAGCTCCAACTTTGATGTGTTCAGGATTAATGAATCTTCTTGACTGCCGCATGCCTGTTTGGGCTCTCCAGTGTTCAAGTAGATTTTGTTTCTCCCGTTCATATAATAAGTTATTTGTGAAGCTATTTGTTACCCCGCTGAAAGGCACTGGATCAATGAAAGGAGAACATGCTAGGGAGTCTGTTATTTCATTGCCCTCATGCACTTCATGTTTCGGTACCTACATAAGAGTACCATAGTTCCTCGATGCTAGAATATTGAGAAGTTGAAAATAAATCAAAAAACTTTGATTGCTGTGAGGAGTTTGCTAAACATTTTAGAGCTGCTTGGCTGTCCGCAAGAATGCATATTTTCGTACCTCGGGTGCCCATGCGTAGGCACTCTCTCGCACATAGCTCTAAAGCATGGACCACTGCCTAAAAAGTCGAAGCGGTGATTGCTTTGCGGAATCATAGATGGTGTCATATATCATATCGAGTTGCACTTTCTTAAGGTAAGTAATTAAAAATTTAATCAAAAAAATTATACAGATCCAGATGTTGCTCAAGCTATTCCAGAGAAAACTTTGAAGTAAGTTGAAATTTGAAATATCTACAGACCTTTATCTCTGCGATTAGTTATGACTACTCCTCACAGTTGTCCATATTTTCAGAAAATAGCAAATATGAATATTTTGTAATTATATTTTCTCTTATGTTATAAGATCACAACTTGCTACGGTTACATTTTAGACTCTTTGAGATAGAGATT